CAGTGTATTCACACCACCATTCATAGACTGGAACTGTGTAAGAGGCTATTGTGGTTACATAAGTTCACATTTTAAGCATTGTAAACAAAAATATTTTGTAATAAGTGACATAATGATTATTGACTCATATACACTCTTTTAATAGTGATAACCTCTTGTTATTCTGTTAATGTTTCTTACATTTGAAATGTACTTCATCTTTATTTTCTCTTCCTTTGATGGCATTTACATGCATGTAGTTTTATTTTTTTTCTGTCTCATTTTATTTCTCAGTCACTTCATTTGTACCAGGCTGTCCTCAACACTAGTTTTTTCTTGAAGTACAATAATGTTTGTGACAGCAGTTGCAATGTAAATGACTAACACAGCTTTCCATAGGACTATCATGGTATCAGAAAATTGATATTTTAAAGTAGAAATTTGTATGCTTCAACAGTCTTTGCTGTATGTGAAAACCATGGAAAAAAATACCATAAAATGCTCTTAAAAATAGTCAACAAACTATAGCAAACTGGAATATCAAAATTTTACTCTCTTATAACCAATTCTATTAAGCAATACACATACAAACTGTCTGTATTAGAAACAAAGCTCTTTTGGTTGTACAGTAGACAGCCACAACCCCTGTTTTTAGAGATTATTTAAGAAGATAGCGCTTTCTCCTGAACACTTATAAAAAGACAATTTTGAGATTGTGAGGAGACATTTAATGTCATCTGGAGCCTACAGTGAGTGTCATTATGACTTTAGCACTAGTGCACACATAAAGTTATTCCTCGGTAAGTTTTAGGTTACAAGGATTTCTGAAGCCATTAAAAATACACAGATTTAAAAATACAAGGGATAATAAATTTATGTAAAGTGTTATTTCTCCAACATGATCCCAGGACCCCCTCTAATCCTGTCCTATGTTTATTTCATTCTTGTCATTCTCGTTACCATTCAAAATAAACAGCCAGGTCAACGATGATCTCTGTGTAGCCAAATCCAATGGTAGCTGCTAGATACTCTTCCCACTCAACATTTTAGCAACTCTTGGCATGGTTACTAGTTTTTCTGACTGGTAAAACTTTTTGACTTTTTCTTCTTTTTTTTCTTCCTTTGAGTCACTTATGGCTGCTCTTAATTTCCATTTTGGTTCTTCTTATTTTCCTCAAACTCTAAATTTAGGAGAACGTTTAAAAATTCTTCCAGCACCCACCACCCATCTATCTTTTCTCTCTCTGTCTTTAATATCTTTCTAGTTGATGTACTAAATTCCTATAACCTTAAGTATCATCAGTAGGCAATTGCATTCACTGAACTCTAGATTCAAGTATCCAACAGCTATTTTAACATCTCTATTGGCATGTAAAATAGACATCTCCAAATGATCGTGAAAAAAAGAATATTTTATATCCAAATATACCCTGTTTCTCAACTAGTTCTCCACTAGTCTCTTTTATCCTTTAGTAAACAGTAGCATGCTACTACTAGTGGCTCAAGGGCCATCTAGTGACTCCTATAGGTTATCTTTTCTCTCCTCCACATGACCACGTGTTAAAAGAATCATTAATTCTATCTTAACAAATACCCCAAATCTGCCACCACTTCCTAATGTGAACTTTTTTGCTTTAGTCTCAGCCACTGGCATGTTATACCTGGAATCGTTCTAATATTTCCCGTTTTGATCTCTTTACTTTCACTGTTATCATCCTATAATCATTTTTTACATAGTTATAAAAATGTCACTTTTAACATATATCTGACATGATTATTCTTCTGCTTAAATTCTCAATGGATTCCTATGCACTTAGAATACATTCAAACTTTTTACCAGGGACTGTTTCTAAATAATTTGATTTCTCTTTATTCGTCTTACCTTAACTTCTACCACTTTTTCTCTCACTGTATGCTGGTTTCAATGACCTTTCTGTTCCTAGAATGTGCCATATTCTTTCCTATATCAGGAACGTCCGCTTATATTCATGCTGCCTGGAATGTTCTTACCTCAATTCTCAGTAATGTCCCCTGTATTATTCGGTATTCACCTCAAATGTCTTCATTTCAGAGAAGATTTCCTTGTCACTTTGTCTAAATAGTCACTTATTCATCACTTTATTATTTAACCTTTTATTTTCCTCGTGATATATTACAATATAATTTTTTTAAAATTTATATGTGTTTATTTACTATTTTCTGTCTTTTTCCACTAGAAAATAATGGCCCCAGTCTCTAAACCTATGCCTAGCACATATTAGAGAAAAATTTGTTGAGCAAATGATTATCTGTGCTACTTAAGTTGCAAATTCCTGCCTAACCCAACAATACAGTCAACATTGTCAAAGCAGGAATGTTCCTAGAAATGTGAATAACAGGTAAGAAACTAAATAATATTTTTATGCAGTTTTGGAATTACTACTTTCCTCTAGATGAGACCAGAACCCAGTCAAGAAGAACTTCTAAAGTGTGCAGGCATATTATCTGTTTCCCCTTGAATTCTAACTTACTTCATGGAAGAGCTAGAATATATGGATGAGGGATAGATTTTTTGGGCTCTGTTTTCCAGTATTAGAACTGACCTTCCCCTGAATATTGGGGAGGCTGGTCTCCAGCTGGGCTCTGATTTAGAGTGACCGCAACTAGAATTCAGTGTGTCCCTCTGCTCTTATTTGATTCCCATGCTAAATTCTTGGATCCTCGAGGGGAAACTAGAAGCTTTCTTAAGTGACTGTGGGGAGGACGTAATAGGTGATCCATGCCTTGCTATTCATCTTGCTCTATTGTTGTTAGTTGCCTTCAGCTCTCTTGGTTTGATGCCCACAGCTTTGGCCAGAGTTTCAACTCTGCCTGAGCATTATTCAATTGACATAGAACTCTAAATAAATACTGTCTCCTAGATATATTAGCTGTTTTAATAAGAATATAACTCATCAGGTTATATTCACTCTGTGTCTGTATGAAAAGTTGATAGAAATGTTATTTAGTCAACAAGAATATTAAGATATTTATTTTATCATTTGCTTCTCAGAGCTTGTTCCTAAGATTAATCGAATTTTATATATTTGTTAGAAATATATTCTGAAGTATTTTACTCTCATCTTTTGCTCTTTTATCTTTGTCCAGTGAAAATAAACATCATTCAAAATACCAATTTTAAATAAAATTAAGAAGCAAAAATGCAACAAACAAAATACCAATTTGAGTATAGAGCTTATCTAGTAAATATCTATTGGGCATCTAATTTGTGCCTGTTTTTCTGTCAATAATCTATTCATCCATTAATGTTCAATTCAAAGTCACCGGTGGGACCTTTCTTAATTTGTGTAGGCAGCTGGTTTCTCCGCTGCTTTGAAACAAAAAGCTCTGTAATTTTTTGGAGCATTTATTACATTTCCTGAAATTTTGTATATGTTTATCTCACCTATCTAACCTGTAAGATTATTAAAGAGAATCTTTTTTCCAAATCTCCAGTATTTAGCACAACAGTTGACAAAAAAGTATAGTCATGTGCTATATAACAATGTCTTGGTCAATGCCTGACTGTCTAGGACAGTGATTTCATAAGATTATAATGGAGCTGAAAACTCCTATTGCTAGGAATGTCTTGATGATCTTGGCCCCTTGTAGGCCTAGGCTAATATATATGTTTGTGTCTTGGTTTTAAACAAAAAAGTTTAAAAGTAAAAAAAGTATATATATTTAATAGTAGAGAAAAACTTATAGAATAAGACTATAAAAAAGTTAAATTTGTATCTTTTTTGTATATTTTCTAAAGATAATTTTGTATCTTTATTATTGAAGAAAGAAAAATATATTTTCATAAATTTAGTGTAGCCTAAGTGTACAGAATTCATAAGGTTTACAGTAGTGTACAGTAATGTCCTGGGCCTTCACATTTAATCACCACTCACTGACCCACTCAGAGCAACTTCCAGGCCTCCAGGCTCCATTCATGGTAACTACCCTATACAGTTGTACCATTTAAAAAATCTTTTATACCACATTTTTACTGTAATTTTCTATGTGTAAATACACAAATACTTCCCGTTGCTTTATAATTGCATATAGTATTCAAGAATGATGTCCAAATTCACTGGATGAAGGAGATAGCTGATTAATTTTAATAGAAACGAATCTAGTAGTTAAAAGTAAAGGACAGGAGTTTTTTTTTTTTCTTCAGAAAATTATAATGACATCAAATGAAGGAGATAAAAGATCTAATCTGAGAGTTAAGGAGAGATGTCAAAGACTCTTAATGAATCAAAAAAGTGGGGTAGATTAGATTAGTTATTAAATTAGTGGCACTGTAGATTACTTGCACAGCTGGCTCTTCCAAATTTCAGAGCAGCTATTTGTCTTTGGCCCTTCTTCAGGGCTCTGATTGCCTTTGCTCTCTCTGCCCCTCTCTCTTATTTTCCCATGACTGCATCTGCCCGGTCATGCAGTAGCCTCCAGTCTGTCAGCTGTAAGGTTAGGAAACAATGCCTATAAAATTAATTTACCAAATTATATTGATAACTGTTTGATTTTCTTGCTGTCTTTCCCATGTTTTACTTGGGATCACTGACTTTAATACCAATAAATATTTAATTGTTTGAGGTACTCTTAATCCCTAAAAGTGATCAAGGGAGACAGCAATTTCCCTGCTCAAGTGCCAAGTAGCTCATTAGGCTGATATTGATTTGTAGCCAGCTATGGATGAATGGTGGCAGAATTTCCATTATTGGTGCTAAGGGTCTTAGCTATGAACAATTTAAACTTGCGGTGGAGAAACATAATCTTTATTCAAAGAGAATTTTTCTAATTTCCTGATAACCAACTTGTGGAGACAAAGGCAGTCACTGTGACCCACTAAAAGGCTTATTGTGCAAGTAGAATCTTGTTGGATGACTTTTGTCATATGCTGTAGGACAGTTTACTTTTATAACCACCTGCTACCTCTTCCTTCTCCAGGGGATTGCTGAAGAGTGAAAATAAATTGTTTATTATGGAATTTGTAGAAATTAAGAAACCAAGATTTTTCTTTCATGTTTATTAAACAAGACCACTAAAGATATTGACTAGAGAATGCTGTGTGCTATTTCAATTACATTTGTTTTTCTTTTGTTAATAGGAATTTTGATTCTTCAAGGAAGTGGCTCACATTTAATTTTAGGTGACCTGAAATAAATAACAAACATATGGTTATGAATTGCATTGGGTCATTTTCTCAAAAACATGTACATTTTCTGCATTTTAATGGCAAATATTGGCTTAAAAATATATTTAGTTCAAGGACTGGGAAACCATCTGCTCAAGAACATTGAGTACCTGTAGACGTGAAAAGAAAGCAAAGGTCTTTAGTGATAAGTATTAGCTGAAGGATTTTTTTCCCTTGAGCAGTCCTCTGGGATCCAATTTAATCTCCAGTATAGACTCTCTCTCCTCAATTTATCTATTACTTGACACACCATCCACTTTGTTTTTGGTATGATGCAATGATAGGGGTCACTGTTATAGGTGAAGCGTGAAGCCTTTAAAATTTTACTATAATGTGATGCTTGAGAGCTAAATTTGGAGTTTTAGTATTAGGAAAATTACATGGTTCTCTAAGGACTAAACTGAAATCTATTTTAAACTGTAGGCCAACTTCATCTACTATGATCTCAACCTTGGTTACTCTGAGTCAGTCTAGAATGCAGTTATTGACAATAGCATAAAGTGTTACAAATACTTTGTAAACAATATTTTAATAACATAGGGATTGTTTCTATTACATCAAACAAAGGAGGGATTTAAAGCACTATGCTGGTTAGATCACGGAAGGGCACGTATATATCTCTGAGTGGGCACACACGACAGTATCTACCAGAGAAAAACATTAAAACAAATTGAAACTGAAAGGAGCCAAATGGGGACATGGCTAGCATTTTTTCCCCTTGAAATTATGAATTCCAAACTGCAAACTTAAACTATGATTGTAACTATGTGTACTTACCACATATTTCATCTTCAATTTTATTCTGACTTTACCTTCTTGTTTAATTTTTCGTCAGGAAGGGGAGTTGTAAGAAGAGATTCACTTACTGGAATAGGAAAATTATATCTAAGCCATGGATATCTTTGATATCTTCGAAATGGAAATGGGAAATAGGGGTAAGGGAACACTAAAAACCCTGAAGATAATTCATCGCTGTCACTGATCTGTTGAAAGAAAGAAATTAAAGGGTTTAGTTTACTTTTTACAAAGAAGAGAAACAAAACAGTTTTGCTTTTTAAATAATGGGACTTCATTTTTAGGAAGAGGTTTTAGAAGCTATAAAATTGTTTATTCTTTCTGTGTGTGCTATGGACAGAGAGTTGATTACTTTGCATCATTTAAAAATTATTTAGAGATACTCATGTTCCTGTATCTTTCCACTTAAAGCTAAATATTTTCTGGCAATCACTTCTTTTACCCACAAGGCCAAGATGAATGTGGTGTTGAGGTGCCATAAAACGTCTCCCTTTGCCTTCATACAAGGTCTTTACCCAAACCACATGTTGGAAACAACCTCTCTCTTTCAGTATCTCAGTTCTTTCTTCCTGCTTTCCCTCTCAATTATCTGTTCCAATCTCTATTACTTTTGATATTCTTGACTCTCTGTTTGTAGTTTTTGCGATAAAATCATGCTTTCCAGATAATAAGATTTTCATAAATAAAAACAAATCTTTAAACAAGATTTAAAGTTTTGCAAACAAATCTTGTTTAAAGATTTGTTTTTATTTATGAAAATCTTATTAATCTTTCCCTCTGCAAATTTTATTTTCTTTTTGTTAAATAATTTTAGATAATTGTTTAGACCCAAATAATCCATGAGCGAATTTGCCACTGGGAGGATCTTCAAAGCTGGCCTACATCTCTTAATGCTTGGGTTTCATTTTTTACTTTCTTTGAAATGAATTTTATAAAGCTAAGGCAAAGTGGAGGCCTGCACAGTTATGAGCATTTATTAGTCTAGATAAATCTAGTAAAAAATATTGTAACCCAAATAATCACAGAGCAATTAAGATTTCAATCCAATTCTTACCATGATTTGAGATGTGGAGATAATTCCCTTTCTACGAGCACAGCTCAAATCCCTGAAGTCTAAACCTCAGTTGAGTGCTAATACCAAGAGCTCTTTAGGAATGTCTCCACTGTTTGGGAGGTGTAGATAAATGAATATCTTTAACAACAGTTATGAATGTTTTACATGTAAAACTTGCATGTAAAAAAGAGAAAAAGTAACTTACACTTCTTTTTTCACGGTCCTGGCCTTCAGAGACCTAAAAGTAAAATAGTGAAATTAATTAAACTCATGTTTATGAAAACACACAAGTAAATATATATATACACATGAGGAAAATAATTTGACAATGTATTATTAATATTGTTTCATAATAACCATTTTTAAAATATCCAGACTTAGTCTAGGAAATGTAGAAATAATTTTCCTGAAAAGTCTTAATATGTATTTTTAAATGGCTCAAACTCACCACTACACCAAGGATATGTGGAACTGAATTATGTGCTAAACAGTGTATGACTTATAATATTTTCTGGAATATAATGACAAAAGGGCAGGTGTTAGGTATTCTTACAGAATACAGTATGTGAAGTAGAAAAAACCCTTAAATTCATGAATCAAGACAAAATATACAGTCATGCATTGCCTAACAACAGAGATAAGTTTGAGAGATGTAGTTCAGCCATTCCATCATGCAGACATCACAGAGTACACTTACAGAAACCTAGATGTTGTAGCCTACTACATACCTAGGCTATATAGTATAGTCTTTTGCTCCTAGACTACAAAGCTGCATGGCATATTACTATCCTGAATACTGTAAGCAGTTGTAACACAATAGTAAGTATTTGCATATAAAAAAATCTAACATAGAAAAGGTACGGTAAAAAATACAGTATAAAAGATGGAAAATAGTGCACATGTATAGGTTACTTGCCATAAATAAACCTTTTAGAACTGGAATTGCTCTGTGTGAGTTAGTAAGTGAGTGGTGACTGAATGTGAAGGCCTAGGACATTAATGTTTACTCCTGTGGACTTTGTAAACACCGTACACTTATGCTACACCAAACTTATGAAAGCATATTTTTCTTCCTTTGATAATAATTTAACCTTAGCCTTATTATAACTATTTTACTTTAACTCTTTTGTAATAACACTTAGCTTAAAACAAAACAATTTCACAGCTGTACAAAAATACTTTCACTCTTTATATGTTTTTTACTCTTTCTTTTTTACTTTTAAACTACTTTACTTAAAACTGAGACACAAACATGTGCATTAGCCTAGGCCTACTCAGGGGCAGGATCATCAATATCACTGTTTTCCACTTTCACATCTTGTCCTACTGGAAGGTCTTCAGGGGCAGTAACACACATGGAACTATCATCTCTCATGACAATAATGCTTTCTTATGGAATACATCCTGAACAACCTGCCTGAGGCTGTTTTACAGTTAACTGTAAAAAAATAGTAGAAGGAATAAACTCTATAATAATGATAAAAGCATAGTACAATAAATACACAAGCCAGTAACATAATTGTTTATTATCAGTATATTAGGCACTGTGCATATTTTTTTGTGCTCTACTCTTATATGACTGGCAGAGAGTAGGTTTGTTTATACCAGTATCACCACAAACACATGAAACACATGACTTAATTCATTGCCCTATGACATTATGATGGCTACAATGTCATTAGGCGGTTGGAGTTTTTCAGCTTCATTATAATCTTTTTTTTTTTTTTTTTCCTTAAGAGATGGGGACTTGCTATGTTGCCCAGGCTGGTCTTGAACTTGTGGGATCAAGTGATTCTCCTGCCTTGACCTCCTAAATTACAGAGATTACAGACATAAGCCACTGCACTTGGTAGCTCTGTTATAATCTTATGGGACAACCCTTGTATATGTGGTTCCTGGTGACAGAAATATGCAGTACATGTCTGTACATAAATATTTTGGAATGTAAAAATGGATACTTACTGGGAAACTAACAGCCACTGCCAAGATGGCTGTGATCAGAAGGAGAACTTTCCTCATCTGCAAAATGGAGCAATTAAATAAAATAAAAAATAAGAACTTTCATTTCATTCAGAAATATCCTAGAAGTCAGCAAAAGACCACGGATTCAAAAGATCCAGTTACAGTACAAATTTTTTAACAAATAACTCTTTGAGTTTGAGCAATCACTTACAATCTTAGTGCATCAATCTATTTGTTAATAAAGAACTTTTTTTTTAGGTCAAATCAAAGGAGCTCTGTAATTTCACAATTATAGTACACCAATTGCTTTAAAAATAAACATTCACATATTAAGAATAATAATTCCTGTGTAACAAAACTATATGTGTATTCCTTAACTTAAAATAAAAAATAAAAGAATACTTCTATGTACTTGATAATGAAAGTAAAGTTTCTGGAAGAAATAATGCCTTGGTGTATACAGACAATATTAGTTTGGAAGTAAGCAGTTATTTAGTGATCTTTGAGAATCTACATGAAAGTAATATAGGTGACAGATTTATTTGCACTGGTCTTAGGCAACCCCCCAAAAATTCATGATGCGAAGAAGGATCTTTTCTCATGCCTGCTAACATATAATCCATCCTGCAGTCCAGGGATCAAAGAGTAATTTTGACTTGCAAGTTTTATTATTTAATGAATAATATAGGACTTTTCCAAAGCATTTTATTGTATTTTAATTTTCACTGTAGATCTCTTACTATATCACACAGTGTTAAAATGTGTCAGTTACAATATTGTTAATATTATATTTGAGAAAACTGAGCGAAATTAAAGATTTATTCAAAATTATACAATAGAGTGTACAATAAAATACAGAACTTTTGCATTTAAAAATATTTATTATTAATACAATAAATGTATATATTACTTGATTTCAAATAATAATGGGAAATTTTCTGTATGGGATGGCATCATTAGGCATTAATCCTCTTAGTCATGGTGTGAATGCATTATATACTAAAGAATATGTGGAAGGATCTGGGAAAGGCAATCAAGTTGAAAGTGGGCAATTTCTTGAAGTTTCCCTCATATTTATTAATTTATTAGTTTATAACATTTTTCTTGATAACTGACTGTGAGACGTTATTCTAGGTGTTGTCTATACACAGATACACCTCTTTTTATTGTACTTCATATATTGTATTTTACTAATTGAGAGAAAAGTTTTGGCAATCTGGCATCCAACAAATCTATCAGCACCATTTTTCCAACAGCATGTGCTCACTTTGTGTCTCTGTGACATATTTTGGTAATCCTGGCAATATTTTACAGTTTTCAGTATTATAAGATACCTTAATATCTGTAAGATATTATTATAAAGCTATAATATAAAGCTATAATAAGATTTTATTATATCTTCTATGGTGATCTTTGGTGTTACTTTGATCTAATTATTTTGGGGTGTTATGGCAAAAATAAATGGCAAACTTATTTGATAAATATTGTATATGTTTTGATTGCTCCACTGACTGGCCATTCCCCCAGTTCTCTTTTTCTCTCTTCAGTCTTTTTTATTTCCTGAGATACAGGAATATTAAACTTGGACCAGTTAATAACCCTACAATATCCTCTAATGTTCTAGTGTTCTAGCACTAATGTTCTAGTGCTATAGTATAATACCCCAGGTAAAGTCTCCTACTTTACATTAAAAAGTAAAAATGATTTAGTGAAGAAAGAATATCAAAAGACAAGAAAAGCTGAAAGCTAGGATCTTGCAACAACTAGTTAGTCAAGTTGTGAATGCAAAGGAAAAATTTTGAAGGAAATTAAAAGTGCTACTACAATGAACACAGGAATGACAAGAAAGCAAAAGAGTCTTGTTTCCAATATGGAAAAAGTTTTAGTTGTCTGGATAGATCAAACCAGCCAGCACATTCTCTTAAGCAGGAGCCTAATATAGAGCAAGGCCTTAATGCCCTTTAACTCTATAAAGACTGAGAGATGTGAAGAAACTGCAGAAGAAAAGTTGGAAACTAGCAGAGGTTGGCTCATGATGTTTTAAACAAAGAAGCCTTCTCTATAACACAAAAGTGCAAGATGAGCAAAAAACGTTGATATAGAGGGTGCAGCATTATCCAGAAAATCTAAGAACACTGATGAAGGTGTCTACAATAAATAATAGATTTTTAATATGGATGAAACGGTCTTATTTTGGAAAAATATGCCATCTAGAACTTTCATAGCTAAAGAGAAGAAATCAATGCCTGGCATCAAAATTTCAAAGGACAGGTTGACTCTTTTTAAGGGATATAGCTGGTTTCTTAAATTGAAACCAATGGTCATTTATCATTTCAAAAATCCTAATGCCCTTAAGAATTACACTAAATCTATTCTGCCTGTGCTCTGTGGATGGAACAACAAAGCCTGGATGGCAGTACATCTAGTACAGCATGGTTTACTGGATCTTTTCAGCTCCCTTCTTAGGAAAAAAGATTTTTTTTTTTTTTTTTTTTTTTTTTTTTTATGCTTCAGGGTTATAGGAACACTTGGAAAACATTTTCTGCATCCTGACTGCAATGGGAGCGTTTTCTCTGCAAGAAGTTTTTTTTTTTTTTTTTTTTTTTTTTTTGCAAAATACTACTATTCATTGACAATGCACCTGAGCTCCCAAGAACTCTGAAGCAGGTGTACAAAGAGATGAATGCTGTTTTCATGCCTGCTAACATAACAGCCATTCTGTAGCCCATGGATCAAAGAGTAATTTTGACGTTCAGATTTTATTATTGAATGAATAATAAATGAATATTATTGAATGAATAATAAATCACAGTGATTTCTTTGATGAGTATGGGCAAAGTAAATTAAAAACCCTCTGTAAAAGATTCACCACTCTAGATGCCATCAAGACCATTTATGACTCATAGGAGACCAAAATATCAACATTATAGGAGTTCGGGAGAAGTTGATTCCAACTTTTGTGGATGACTTTGAGGGATTCAAGGCTTCAGTAGAGGAAGTAACTTGCAGATGTGGTGGAAATAACAAGAGAACTAGAATTAGAAGTGGAGTGCGAACATGTGACTTAACTACTTCAATCTAATGGTAAAACTTAAATGAATGAAAAATTGTTTTTTATGGATGAGCAAAGAAAGTGGTTTCTTGAGATGGAATCTCCTGGTGAAGATGCTGTGAATATTTTTGAAATGACAGCAAAGGATTATTTTAAATACCAAATAATCTAATAATTTTGAGAAGACAGGAATGTAAAATTCCAGTCAAGTTCAGCCTTCTACAGGCAGATCGTTAGTGTAGGAAATCAACAGCAAAAATTATACAAACACACACACATGCATACACTCACACATACTCCTCACAGACACACACATACATATACATTGTCTAGTTTCTATGTGCAAAGCATTGTTCCGGTAGTTTTCAAGAATACAATGATAAACCATGATTTCTTCCATGTGAGACTTCCATATGGAAGACAGAGATAGATTATTTCTATAATGTAAAACAAAGCATGATATATACCATATGTAGAAATTGCAAAATATTGAGAGTATTTAGAAGAAGAAAGAAACAGGTCGAGGAGATAGTTTTGGAAAGGATAGAATTCAAGGAGGGAGTTTACAATATAATTTCTTTCAACTGGTTTCAAAAAGTATTCAAAACCACATTAAGCAAAGAAGTAAATATACCACATCACAGACTCTTCCAGATCTTATCTGGGAGTCAGGACATAGCATAATTACCGGCTATTCCTTTTATTTTTATACTTATCAAGTCATGATACCCACAGCAGTTTATTGCTGTGTGCTACAGCATAATACCCCAGATAATCAAATGCATCTTCCTGGAGAATTTTATTCAAGAATTTACAGGAAAGGCAAATAACTTTTACATTAAAATTAACTTAAAATGTTATAGAATGGAATGTAAATACTGCATATATTTTAAAGATAAAAGTGGAGGCCAAAGAAATTGGCACTTGCTTAGACTTTGGAGAATCTCTGGCAGTGCATGTTCCCTCTCTTTGCTGACCTGATGGCACAAATTTCAAAATAAACCTGAGGCTCTGTTCTCATTCTGTCCGCACGCTCTCCCACCAGTGCTCTACTCCTGCAAAGATTTATTTATGATCACTCTAAAATAAATATTTACTACAGCAGGATGATGTTTAAAAAAATGTTTGCAAACATAACACTAAAAAGTCTACAACTTCAAGCTTGTAGTCTACAACTTCAAGCAACTATTAAATGATAATCTCAATAATTTTTTATGGTTTATGTAAAAATATATGCTATGTATATCTATATTTATAATTAGATAAACAATATTAGTTTACAATAATATTTAAGACCTTTTTTTACCTCAAACTTTTCAGTCAGTTCTTTCTCTCTGAGGCTGTTAGGAGAAACGGCAAGTGACTGGCCCTGGAATATTACAACTGTTTTATATACTCAAAGGTATAATGGAATGGAGACATCTGTGGTTTGAAGGCCTCTCCCCTAGGATCAATTATTACTCATCAGCTATCACAGTATGTTGAAATTGGGGAATAACCAATGTTTAGTTTCATGAAACTACCTAATAGTTACTACCAAATACCAAAATCTCTTTTTTTTAAAAAATTTTCTCCAGATTTTGATTCTTATATATTTGAGCTTATCACTTTAAATGTTGTTGCTCCATTCTCTACTCTCACAATTTTTTCCTTTAATTTCCACAATTTAAAATACCTCCAAGCATCTTACTAGTGCTGATTATAATCTATTGAAAAGCAGATTTGGTAGTGCTGGAATTTTAAGAAAATAAAAAATCTAAATATTGTTAAAGATGAGATTAAAATCTTTTGCATGATTCTGCTTTCAGCGTCTTAATTTTAGTTTTTAGAGCTTCATAGATGAGTGAATTGTCTTTTTGGAGCATTACAGCATCTTGTTTACCTTATACAACACTGTACTCTGTTTTTCAACTAAATTAAGTGCTGGACTATGAACCAGAGCCCACACATTCAAGAATTACCATAACTATGCTTGCATATTGTATATGTCATTGTAAGGAGTCATAAAATTTGAGCTTTAACTCATTTGAGAGCTTTCAAGAATATTGTATTATTGAATTCAAATTTCTGCTTCAAAAGACGTTATATAGTCCAGATTGTAGTAGCGGTGTGTGAAAGTCCCTTTTCTTCTTTTTATTTTTTTCTAGGAATCAGTTATTAAGGGAACTCAGAAAAATAATAACAGCTAAGTTTTTTTTGAGGATTTTAAGCACTGAAGCACAAATTTAAATGCTTTATATATATAATATAATACAATCCCCCAAACAACCACCTTATGAGGAAAGTATTATGAGCAACACCATCTTATTTTGAGACTGAGAAGCAGAGAATATTGATAATCAGTGTGGGTATTATAACTAGTCTCTGGCAGAGATGGAATTGAGCACCAGCACCAGTTGGTTCTAAAACCTACATTTTTTTTTTTATTATTGTACTTTAATATCTGGGGTACAAGTGCAGAATGTGCATATTTGTTACATAGTTATACATGTGCTATGGTGGTTTGCTGCATCCATCACCCTGTCATCTACGTTAGGTATTTCTCCTAATGCTATCCCTCACCTAACCTCCCATCCCCTGACAGGCCGCAGTGTGTGATGTTTCCTTCCCTGTGTTCATGTGTTCTTGTTGTTCAAGTCCCACTTATGAGTGAGAAAATGCAGTGTTTGTTTTTCTGTTCTTGTGTTAGTTTTCTGAGAATGATGGCTTTCAGCATCATCTATGTTCCTGCCAAGAACATAAACTCATCCTTTTTCATGGCTGCATAGTATTCCATGGTATATATGTGCCACATTTTCTTTATCCAGTCTATTATTGATGGGCATTTGAGTTATTTCCAAGTCTTTGCTATTGTGAGTAGTGCTGCAATAAACATGAGTGTGCATATGTCTTTATAATACAATGATTTATAATCATTTGGGTATATCCTGGTAATGGAATTGCTGGGTCAATTGGTAATTCTAGTTCTGGCTCATTGAGGAATCACCACTGTCTTCCACAATGGTTGAACTAATTTACACTCCCACCAACAGTGTACAAGTGTTATTTCTCCACAGCCTCTCCAGCATCTGTTATCTCCTGACTTTTTAATGATCACCATCCTATCTGGCATTGGATGGTCTCTCATTGTGGTTTTGATTTGCATTTCTCTAATGACCAGTTATGATGATGAGCTTTTTTCATGTGTTTGTTGGCTACATAAATGTCTCATTTTGAGAAGTGCCTGTTCAATATCCTTTGCCCACTCTTTGATGGAGTTGTTTGTTTTTTTTCTTGTAAATTTGTTTAAGTTCTTTGTAGATTCTGGATATTAGCCCTTTGTCAGATGGGTAGACTGCAAAAGTTTTCTCCCATTCTGTAGGTTGCCTGATCACTCTGATGATAGTTTCTTTTTCTGTTCAGAAGCTCTTTAGTTTAATTAGATCCCATTTGTCAATTTTGGTTTTTGTCACCATTGCTTTTGGTGTAAAACCAACATTTTAAACTAGTGCCTTATACTGCCACTGTAACATAAAGCTAAAAAAATCAGCACAAAGCAGGAGAAACATCAAACTTTCTTTACCTATAACTTAACATTTAATCTTATCTCAGTGATTTGAAGAAAACAGCCTGAAGAAACTTAATATATTAAACCTGGAATGTTATTGTATATTGGTTTATATGTTGACCAATTTGGGCTCATAGTACATTTCCCCAGGGGATGACAAGTGTGTGTGTGTGTGTGTGTGTGTGTGTGTGTGTGTGTTATCCAGACAGGTGTATGTATTCATGTATTATCCACTTCCTTACCTAAAACCTGTCTTTCAGTTTATTCTACTTCAATTTATTTTATCTGAAATTTCTCTAATGGAGATTGTCAATTGCCATTGAATTGTGAAAACCATAAATGATTTTTTGTCCTTGTGTTATTTCACTTCTTTTAACTGTGACTATTCCCATTTAGAAATCTAGTTTTCTCTTCCTTGGCTTTGTTAAGCCAATTTTTCATGTTCTTTTTCTTCTAGTAGCAACAATAGTCTTATTTTCTGATTCACTTTTCTTGATTTATTATACGTGACAATTTGTCTTTTTAGTCTTACATTAATCTACTTCTGACTCCTTAAGCTATGCCTTCAGCTAAAACTCTTCTCTAATTACTCCAAGTCTTGTATCCAACTGAATAATCCATTTAGAAGTTTGATGGCACATCAATCCAACATATCCAAAACCTAGCTTACTATTTTTCCCTCTTAATATCATCCTCACTTGTATTTAATCTCTCAGCTGATGATCATCAATTACTTGTTTATCCAAGCAAGAAATCTAAGACTCATACTATTTTCTTCTTGTGCCTTCTCTTCCACCTCAAATGGTCATTAACTTTTTCCTTCTTGTAATGCCCTGGAACAAATCTCTTCCGTATTCTTCGTATTTTCCTTAGTTTAGTTTAGGTTCTCATTCTCTCCTAGAGTGTCACAGTAGCCTCTTAATTAGAGTCCCTGTCTCCAGTATTATTCTTCTTCAATCTATCTTCCTCAGTAATGCTACAATGACCCTTAAAGTGGTTTTCAAAATTTTAAAAATTAAAGCCACAGTAAAAGGCATTATGTATCATAACTCAGTACACACACACACACACACACACACACACACACACACACTGAAACAAGGGTTTAGTAAAATATTTTTTAGCTTGTTTACATGAGGAACATACTGACATTTTTAATTTTTTCAGATATGTTCTATTGTAATCTAATTTTTTACACATCTTTCATTTATTCTAATTTATATCACTTAAATGTTAGTAGTGACCCACAACATTCATTTCTCAATGGAAAGAGAAGGATTTAAATAGTGGCAGAATGCTAACAATCTAGAAAATGAAATGAACTGCTCAGTGTATTATTCTTACTCATTTGAAGGCTTAAAATATTTTACAATAAAATATTTGGAAAAATGATTTTTTTCTGAAACATTTTCTTTCTCATTGGCTTATAAGCTCCATTAGAGCAAGGATGATACACTTTAAATTCTTAGGTGTTGGATACCTAGCATAATGGTTGCCCTGTAATAGGTAATCAATAAATATTTGTGTTCAAAGAATATGCATTTGACTAGTTCCTAATATACTTGGAAAAACCGAAAGGAATCACTTTTTGGAAGGGATAAGAAGATAAGAGGACTCTAATCTGGAAAAAGAAAGCCTAATTTGTATGAACAATTGGAAGTTGCTATAATGGAGTTCACTGGACAACTGCCCAATACTTTCTGTTGCTATTGTTTATAATATAATTTTGTACCAATGGATAAAAAATATGACTTAGTATGGAAATATTTATCTCAGAACTAATGTATCAAAAGCATTCTTTTTCAGTTACATAAAAATATAGTTACAGTTTGCAGCAATTAAGCCTGAGCCTTATCCATGTGCAAACATGTAGGCAAACTATGAGACTCTGTTTTCATACATTTGGTGTATACCTAGAGACATTTAAAATATTTAGTTTAACATGTTGACTCCATAATATTAAATGTTGTGAACATTGCAGATAGTAAATAATGATAGCTAGATAGAAAGGAATATTTCTGTCTTAGCCATGTATTTATCTTAAAATAAAAATTTGCTAGTTTTTTTTTTAAGGACAATCTCCCTTTACAGATTATTTAAAAAGTGAATCTGAGTAACTGAGAAAGAGAATAAACAGTTTTCATTGACTTGTCTAGTTATCAGTTACACTTGAAATGACCTTTGGTCATTTGTCTAGTTATCAGTTACACTTGAAATACATTTTCAAGGTGAAGCTGTCAACTCAACTCTGGATTTGTAGAAGGTTTGTATTATTTTCTTCAGAAAAGTACTTTGATAGAAAAACCTAGCACAAAAAATCTATACATTTCTTATGTTAGTATGTCTTTCCTGTATAGAACTGGATTCTGGTGAGTACTTTTTGCTTTCTTGATCTTTGGCTTCCATTTGTGTTGGCTCACAGGTAGTTCCGATCAAGCCAGGAGGTTGTTGCATAAATCTGTGGCTATCCTATTACTAAAATTCTAGCCACCATGAGGCAGTAGGAATAATGAAGCCAAGGATGGATAGCTCTAAGCTAAATGAGTTAGGATTTCACAGGTAAGACTGTGTTTAGATATTTTGATCTTCCTCTTTATTAGTTGTAGGTGGACAAATCAGGCTTTCTGAATCTCAGTTTTCATCTGTAAAGTGAATTGTCTCTGGAATTGAGAATAAAATGAAATGAAATGTATGAAAGCATTAATCATGTGTCTGACAGCGTTAATGGTGGTTTCAGCAGCATCAGAAGCACTGGCTTAGGATATACTTTAAGTGTAGCCTTGAGTAGATCAGACTTCTTGCTGCCACACATTTTCAGGGGTCCTC